CTCCAGAGAGAGAGGCCTCGGCATGGATGTTGAAATCTCCCAGGACCAAAAGCCGTTGGGAGTTCAACACCATGTCCGAGACCACTCCCGCTAGCTCAGGTAGGGAGACTGTAGTGCAGCGGGGTGGTCGGTACACTACCAGAATCCCTATCCTGTCCCGGTCACCTATCCTAAAGCCGGCACATTCAAAGGAAGATGATTGTGGAATGGGACACCTGATCAGTGGAATAAAGTCCTTATAGACCACTGCGACTCCGCCTCCCCGCCCTCCAAGCCTTGGTTGGTGCTGAACAGAGTAACCTGGTGGACAGAGTTGGGAGAGGTTAACCCCTCCCCCCTCGTCCAACCAGGTTTCCGTTATACAGGCCAGGTCGGCTCGTTCTTCTTGGATTAGATCTTGTATGATGAAAGCTTTTCCATTTACCGACCTGGCATTGAACAACACCACCTTTAGCTTGGAGGGGCCACCATCTTGGCACCTCAGTTGTATTTTGTCGGGAGTAAGTTTTGGAATTGCCAATCTATTTTTGTTAATTTCGGGCCGAACGGTAGTGTTGATTTTTGGAATTGCCAATGTCCTATTAAAGATTTTGGGCCGAATTTGCTTTTGTCTTTGATTTCTAGCATCTTTAGGAATAGCCAATTTATTGTTGTAAATTTTGGGCCGAAATGGAAATTTTATTCTCCCTTTCCCGTATCTCCCCCTACCAGTCACCACCTCTATGGCGGCTCCCCCACCCACGGTCCCAACCCCCCCGGGGATATTCCCTCCATTTCCAGCAGCTGTAATCTCATTAATAGGCACATGCTTACCATTATTGTCATCTGTCTCTGGGTCCCGATGATTCCATCCCTTAATGTTGACCATTCCCTCTAGTGTATCGAGGGCTATAGAGTGCACTCGTGCTGAAGCTGGACTAAGGTGCCCTTGTGCTATGATTGTTATAAAGTGCACTTGTGCTAGAGGTTGGAGGGATAACAGTAGCAGTAAAAGCAGAGCAAGCATTGACATGAGGATAACAATGATATATCGATATTAACAATAATGTGCTTACTCCAATTAATGTGGGAACCCAGAGTAAAGAGCATAAAGTGCCATTGTTTCCGTAATGATATGGTTCTGATGTAAGGACCAAAGTGCTCAGGTTAAAGTGACTTCGTGCTGAGTAGTTTTCTTTTTAAAGTGCAGCTAATGCAGAGATTACTGGCTTCTAGAATGAAACCACTTTCCCAGCAATAAATCAGGACAACAATTCACACCAGGAAACCCAGCTCCCTAGGCCCGTGGAACAACAAACCGGCACCCAGGGACAGATCTCTCAGTCTTCTTGATTGTCTTGAGTGGGGAATTCTCCAACAGAACAGATGATAGTCTGTATAGTGAAGGCAGTATCTGCAGTTGTTGCTAATTAACAGCACGCTTCACAGATTGTCCATTGTGTGATAGAAATTATTGCACTTTTTATCTGAGCCACAGAGGGCGGTATAGGGGAACGAATATAATCCAGTTCAATGCAGTTTAATCTACATTCTGAAACTGGATTATATGGCAGTCTAGTTATGGGCCAAAGAAAGCTAAAGACCTTGTAAAACTACAACTCCTGTCATTTAGTCATAGCAGTTATCAAATGGGGTCAAACTGCATTCATTCTATAGTCGACCGATCAACGCTCTGGTTATTCAGAGAGTCATTTAAATGAGACGGAGGACCGCTTGCTGTATTTCTCCCATTTTAAGACTAACTTTTTTGTATGTAAATATCTCTAAAAATGCTGTGTGTCTTATATATTTTATTGATAGTGATGGTGGTACTGAGATTAGGTAGTTAGCACCTTTGGTACATGCAGAGACATCTTTGAATATGTTTTAATGCTTTTTAACTGTGAATTTTTAATACTCTTTATGTTTAGTTATGTTTTAATGTTTGCAATATTTGTGTATTTTAAATTGTGTGCTAATGCTTTTATGTTAAGCCGCTTTGGATCTCCTTTGAGAGAGTTAAAGCAGGCATAAATAAATATAATAATAATAATAATACACTAGTTGTCCCCTGCCATGCATTGCTGTGGCCCAATCTGTATATATGTTTTTGTGTGTATATATGCGTATATGTGTGTGTATAAGTGTATATATATATGGTTTTGCTCATGCGTTGTAATGTATATTTTGTTTTTTTGGCTTTTTAAGTCCCTTCTGCTGTGTTTGTCAGTGTTTTTATGAGTGATGGTCACTGGTTGGCCTGATAGGTGTATTGCGTCCAAATTCGGTGTCAATTCGCCCAGTGGTTTGTGCGTTATGTTAATCCCACAAACGAACATTAAATTTTTATTTATATAGACTAGCCATCCCCTGCCACGCGTTGCTGTGGCCCACATGGGGGTTCTGTGTGAGAGGTTTGGCCCGATTCTATTGTTGGTGGGGTTCGGAATGCTCTGTGATTGTAGGTGAACTATAAATTCCAGCAACTACAACTCCCAAATGTCAAGATTCTATTTTCCCCAAACTCCACCAGTGTTCACATTTGGGCATATTGAGTATTTGTGTAGAGTTTGGTCCAGATCCATCATTGTTTGAGTCCACAGTGATCTCTGAATGTAGGTGAACTACAACTCCAAAACCAAAGGACACTGCCCACCAAACCCTTCCAGTATTTTCTGTTGGTCATGGGAGAACTGTATGCCAAGTTTGGTTCAATTCCATCGTTGGTGGGGTTCAGAATGCTCTTTGATTGTAGGTGAACTATAAATCCCAGCAACTACAACTCCCAAATGACAAAAGAACTTTTTTGAGTGAAGGACATACATTGGGTTGTTAAGTGTCTTGTGTCCAAATTTGGGGTCAATTTTCCCAGCGGTTTTCGAGTTCTGTTAATCCCACAAACGAACATTACATTTTTATTTATATAGATAACACTGGGTGCTGTGCCAAAAGATCTCAGCCAGCATTTGAAAACAATAAACATTGACAAAATCACGATCTGTCAACTGCAAAAGGCCAGCATCATTCGAAAATACATCACACAGTCCTAGACACTTAGGAAGTGTTCAACTTGTGATTTTGTTATACGAAATCCAGCATATGTATCTCGTTTGCTGTGTCATACTGTTTTTTGTGTCAGTATAATAATATAATATCACTCGTTGAACCAAAGTTCATTTCCATACTTGGACAGGAAATACGGAAAGCATCTGTAAGGACTACCACAAACCGAATACGATTAATCAGTTTTATTTGGAGTATCAAAATTCAGCTCAACATTTATAATATAAAAATTGTACTTTTTGATACTTGCTTCTGAATCACAGCAAGTATCAAAACAGTGAATGCATTTATTTCTTTAAAAATTCAGAATAGTAGAATGATAGCTAACTGAGCTTCTTTGCCTAAACTCGTTTTCTGATGGGGCAGGAATTGTACGTTTTCAGATAGCAACTCCTGTCGCTTCTCTTTCTAACTGTGCTGGATCAGGATGCCAGGAATTGCCATCCAAATACCTCTCATAGAATCATAAAGCTGGAAGACACCTTGTGGGCCATCCAGTCCAACCCCCTGCCAAGAAGGAAAATAACATTCAAGGCACCCCTGACAGATGGCCATCCAGCCTCTATTTAAAAGCCTCCAAAGAAGGAGCTTTCACCACAGCCTCTAAAAGGCTGCACAGTGACCAACCCAGTACTAAAGGCTGCCCATGATGATGGCAGATATAATCAAACACATATGAAATGAACCAAGTGAAAAAAGGTTACCATTAGGTGTGCCAGCACACGTTGGAAATCTATGCAGAATAAATTTTACATTACTTCAATATAGCTAAAGAACTTCAAACAATTACCCCACCAGCCCAGATGTGAAAGAAGCCGTCACTTTAACTTGCAAAACGGATACCTCATTTTTTACCTCCAAAATTCCACAGAAACAGAGGGGGAAAGGCCCATTCAGCCATACAAATTGTCCATTAACATTGCTATAATAGGTCGGTGTGAGCAGTTTCCTTCCAGCTATATTATTTTTGTTGTTCTCATTGCAATATAGAGGTGAAATATCACTATCTTTTCAATAAAATCTTTTCACGGCTTCCTGTTACTCTTTTCGAACATCTCTGCAAGACATTTTCAATGCAGATGCTAGAATGACAACTATTATAAAGCACACCATGTGTGAATAGTTTACTTTCATGATGCAGGCATCAAATCTGGTCCCATACATTAGGTAATAAGCTGAAACACATTGGTCTATGATCTCTTTAGTAGTTTATTGGTCTCTTTTTTTTCCCTAAAGGTAAAGGTGAAGGTTTCCCCTGACATTAAGTCTAGTAGTGTCCGACTCTGGGGAGTGGTGCTCATCTCCATTTCTAAGCCAAAGAGCCGGCTTGTCCGGAGACGCCTCCAAGGTCATGTGGCTGGCCAAAATTGTCCGGAGACGCCTCCAAGGTCATGTGGCTGGCATCATTGCATGGAGCACTGTTACCTTCCCACCAATGTGGTACCTATTGATCTACTCACATTTGTATGTTTTCGAACTGCTAGGTTGGCAGAAACTGGGGCCAACAGTGGGAGCTCACCCCACTCCCTGTATTCGAACTGTATTGGTCAGCAAGTTCAGCAGCTCAGCGGTTTAATCCACTGCGCTTCCAGGGGGCCTTTCTTCCTTACCCAGGTTCAATTACATGCAAAACAAATGTCCTAAAGCAGGTATGGGCAAACTTTAGCCCTCCAGGTGTTTTGGACTTCAACTCCCACAATTCCTAACAGCCGGTAGGCTGTTAGGAATTGTGGGAGTTGAAGTCCAAAACACCTGGAGGGCTGAACTTTGCCCATGTCTGTTCTAAAATCTGCCAAATTTCAGACAAGCAGAGGGAGAATGTTATAAGTACGAAAAAGTATGGATATGCTCCCCAGGGAATTTTGTATGCAAATACTGTACATTTGAGATGCCCTAAATAATAATAAACAAGGAAGTCTTTTTTGCCCACCACAAACCAAGGCACATTTATTCAAACATGAGAGCAATTGAGTTTAATCTGACTTAGTTCCACTTTTATAGAAAAACATAGAAAAGTAATTGGCAATGGGATAAAGAAGAGAGCTAAGACCCCCAAATTTGGAGATATGTAATAATTTGACTCCTAGTGTCCTTTTGCCATCAGATTTAAATTTCATTTTATTTTTAATTAATGTGTCTCTTTGTGAAGTTTAAGTAAAGTAAGTGCTATTTTTCTGTGATGATTCGATGTCACTGGCTTCAGCGAAAGGCAGATTTCAGTGTTTCGTTTTGACCTTCTGTTCTTCAATAACAGTTGCTTCCTGTTAGATCTTGTATCCAGGTTAATCCCGGCCTGTATGTCTGGGTCGGTCAATTCGGAAGAGAAACTCAGCCGGGACGAAATACCCTAGATACTCAACAGTCTCTGGAGTTGTGTCCTCGTGGTAGTGTCCACCTTCTCCGTGGTGACTGAAGCCGTGAGTGTGCACCAGGCGCAGGCCAACCCCCTGAGAAATAAACAACAACAACACAATAAACAGAGGCCAAGAAGTCTACAAATAATGCTATTGAATGCCAGTATTTTGCTGCCTGTTTAATGGCACTCCTCAATGAAGAATACAAAGTTATTTGGGCAGGTAAGTCAGAAATTCCCACAAGCTCTTCTAGCATAGCAATAACTCACAATCTGCTTCATGTAACGGTTCTACTTCTACTACAGTTCTTTTGCATGTGTGCAAGCACTCTTAGGTTTGAAAAACACCTTTTGGAATATATTGTCGAAGGCTTTCATGGCCAGAATCACTGGGTTGTTGTAGGTTTTTCCGGGCTATATGGCCATGTTCTAGAGGCATTCTCTCCTGACGTTTCGCCTGCATCTATGGCAAGCATCCTCAGAGTTAGAATCACTGGGTTGTTGTAGGTTTTTCCGGGCTATAAGGCCATGTTTTAGAGGCATTTTCTCTCCTGACCTCACTACCTCTGAGGATGCTTGCCATAGATGCAGGCGAAACGTCAGGAGAAAATGCCTCTAGAACATGGCCATATAGCCCGGAAAAACCTACAACAACCCAACATTTTGGAATGCTCTTTCCAAACAGCAATTTCACATGTGGCATTACAGATTCCTTAAAACAAATGTCATGATAATGATAAATGGGAATATAAAATAGGCATATTAAACAAATTCCTTCTGAAAACATTAAATGAATTCTTTCTGAAAATGGCTGCATGTAATTAACGTAATGTGTTTCATGCTTGGATAACCACTTGCAGATTTCTATAAAGCAGGCATGAGCAAACTTTGCTCCTTCTCCGTCCCCCCCACAAGGGCCCCACCACTCCTGGCGCTGCCTCCCCGGCTCCAGCTTCGATTCCCACAGTGGCTGCTCTGGGCTTGAGGGCGGAGCTAGCACCAGGTGGTGGGGACAGCCCAGCGGACCACCACCCCTGGCCGGTCTGGTAGCGTGGCCTGCTGCTACTCCTCAGTCGCCCCCTCCTTCCCTCTTGCTCCTCATCCTCTCTCCCTCCTCAGGCTGCGCTGCTTGGGGTGCCGAGGGCAAGTGAGGTGAGGGATCAATGAGAGCTACAACATCCTGGAGGACGGCGAGGTACCACCTAGGATGCAAGGTTAGGAGGGACTGCCGGCAGATTCAATCGATGGAGTGACGAATTGTGAACTGACAGACTGTTATTCTGTTAAAGACGACCCCCGCTCCATTTTTGAGATGATTTTCTTGGTTTAGAAAGTTGTCTTGTATGCCGTAAAATGCGGTAAGTTTCTTAATTTGTACTTAACCTATGAGTTAAGATATACCTGCTATGAGATTCCAAAATAGATCTGGCATATATGAATTGGACTCAAATCCATTGTGTATCAAGAAATTGTGTGGGTGTATGCTCACACAATTACATATGTTAATTTAAGAGTTTTGCACACGACAAAGAAGACCACAGGAATCCCCACTCCATGTAAATACAACTGACTTACTGGATCAGTAGAAACTAATACTGGCTGGCAAATCAGCGGAGCCTTCATTTCAAAAAACTTGAGCCAGTTGTTCACCTCCGCATCTGTTTTCAAAGGACATTCAGAGAACTCAGAAGGCTGTAATGAAAATGTTGCTGAAAGTAAGTACAGGAAAAAAGTGGGAACATTTGAACAAACATTAATATGGTAAGCCACCAACCCCACAATCAATCAAATTATTAGTGGAAAGACAATCACAAGACTTTGGATTTGTTGACCTAACTTCCATTATTGGCATGTGCTGTCATATTTTTCTAAAATGACCCATTCACTCCAACCATTCATCCAAAAACACTGGCTCTTAATGGATGGAAGGTAAAAGTGGGCAACCATGCAAACTAGATTTACTTGGACTCCATTCACCAAGATATTAAATGAAAAATGATGCAACTAAATTGGAAGTCAGCCTTGCCATTGGTAGCTACTTCAGACAGCACATTTTGTCTATCATACAAAGTAGATCTCTTTGTATTTTTATTCTCAACTAGCTTGAGAATAATCTGGCAATGCCCGAGTTATTTGAAAAAGGCATAATTTGTTTTGAGGTGTAAGGTCATATCATTTAGCTAATTAGTAACAATATTTATTAGGAAAAAAAACCCAGTCTTTGATTTGGTTTTTTATGAATGCTACTAGTAGAAAATGCATAAGGATGTGGGTGAACTACAATTCCCAAAACCGTGGGCCAATCCTCCCCAAACCAAGCCTGCATGCACAGTTGGCCATGTTGCATCTGTGTGCCAAGTTTGGTCCAGATCCAACATTGGCTGGGTTCAGTGCTCTCTGGAAAAGGGTGAACTACAGCTGCCATATGCCAAGGGCAGTCACCCCCAAACCGTGCCAGTATTTACAGTTGCCATGTTAAGTCTGTGTGCCAAGTTCCAGATCCGACATTGGCTGGGTTCAGTGCTCTCTGGTTACAGGTGAACTACAACTCCCAAAATTAAGGTAAATTCCTAGGTCGTGGGGGTCGCAGTAGTCTCAGGAAGTGACTGAAAGTACTGCAAATCCTATAATCCGTGGCAAGTGTAGTCATAGAATCATAGAGTTGGAAGAGACCTCATGGGCCATCCAGTCCAACCCCCTGCCAAGAAGCAGGAATATTGCACTCAAAGCACCCCTGACAGATGGCCATCCAGCCTCTGTTTAAAAGCCTCCACAGAAGGAGCCTCCACCACACTCCGGGGCAGAGAGTTCCACTGCTGAACGGTTCTCACAGTCAGGAAGTTCTTGGATGGTCCAGATCCATTGTTGGTTGCGTTCACAGTGCTTTCTGGATGTAGGTTAACTACAACTCCTATAAATCATGGTGAATTCTTCCCAAACCTCTTGTTTAGTTGCTGATCAATTCCTGTTTGCTGTGTGCCATAGGAAAGGTTTAAGGGAGAGGCAGTGGGTGGGGTCATGCAAATTCCACAGCAAAGGAAAGAGTAAAGAATCCTGGGATGACCATTCTAGGGGGAAAACAGAAAATCTAGGATGAAATTGTCCCCAAATGAAAGCCTTCACTTGGGTAGTGGGCAGAATTGTCTTTGAGGAGAACACTGATAGGGTTTGGGCTATATGTTCATGGCTCCCACTCTAATTTGCAATGTCCTTGGAGGGAGGGCTTTTGGTGGCTCTTGAGCACTGTGGGTTATAGCCTGTTTGTGAAGGCGGGAGGCTGTTATTACCTTTATTATGTGTATAGAATATTTCAGCAAGAGGTAAATGTGTGTTTCCTGAATCGAGTGCAAAAACAATGCAGCTGGATTGGGTTTCCACACTTCTTTATTTGGGTGGGATTATGAGTTTGACACTTTAGATAGCAAAGTGTTCTGGGCTGAAACCACAGCTATGGATGAATAGGTACATCACTCTGATTAATTGATAAGGCAAAGACTGGTATGCCGATATAGCTCCCTATTTCCATAGTGCAATGATGCACATTTAAACTGTCATCCATCAGGTCAAACAGGTTAGAAATTCATAAGCATATCCAACCTTGACTTACCATAATGTGAAATTTGGCTTTTCCCTTCTGGATAATAAATGTTCCTCCCATCCCAACTGGTTTGTCGCCATAACATTTCTCTAAGGTTTTTCTGATGCACGATATGAAGTTTTGCTCCCCGGTTCTTCTATTTGCTTTCACTTTGATCACCTTTTTTGGAGAGAAAATTGGGGGGGGGGGGGGGGGGGGGAGGAAGACATTTGTAGAATATTGTAACTATGCCTGTTATAGTTACACTGGAGAACTGAAGGCTTTATTATAATGGTGTTATGAGTAGCAATGTCTATTAAAGGATGAAACATAATGTTTTGAAAAGCATAAACCAGAAGTTTGGGGGGGGGGGGAGACGACAATATTCAATAAGTGGGAACCACTTATTTAAACATTATTGAGATATCATCCCTCCATCTTATCTTCCCCAATATGAACATACAGCACCCGAGACACTACTCATATGGCTTTCATTTACATTTTTTTCATTATTATCTTAGTATTCAAGGATTTCTCTCTCTTCAACAGAAAATTCAACAGAAAATGTATTGTCGAAGGCTTTCATGGCTGGAATCACTGGGCTGTTGTAGGTTTTTTTCGGGCTATATGGCCTAGGAGAGAATGCCTCTAGAAAATGGCCATATAGCCCGAAAAAAACCTACAACAACCCAATAACAGAAAATTCTCACACCAGAAGCGAATTGCAGTTTCTCAAGTTGCTCCTGACATAAAAACAAACCCAAACAAACAGAAAATAATTACGAAATAGCCACCTGCACTCGAAGATTCTCTGTCTTCCCACTCATTGCCTCATAGTTCCTTGCAACATATTGAAGGTGTTGGCTCGTTTTTACACTGCTATATAACCCAGTTTCTGAATCAAGATTATCTGCTTTGAACTGGATTATATGAATCTACAGAGATGGGGCCTGTCTCTTGCATATCAATGGGGTGATGATTGGTGGATTTCATAAGTATCAGCCTCTCTGTAAGTCACAGATCTTCACTTCAGAAGACACCTGGAGACATCCTGGCAGTCCCATACACCACAGTGTTCCTTCAATAAACAACATACCAATCTTCTTACCAAAGTCCAAAATACAGCAGGACTTCCAGACTGGCCCTGTATCCCAGGATCTAATCCCAGGTTTTCTGCTTAAAACTGGATTACAAGAGTCCACACCGCCAGATAATCTGGGATAAACAGAAAACCTGGGATCGGATCCTGGGATATAGGGCCTGTCTGGAAGGGCCCTTAGGCTGTGGCAGACCTTAAAACTGAACACCTACCTCACCAGGAAGACCTTCACTGGCATATAAGTTGGCTAGAAGTCCAAATTCGCAGTCTTTGTATTTGGAGCTGTATTTCTCCAGGAGACACCCTCCATCTTTAGGGTTGATTCTTGCAAGGTAACTTCCATTGACGGCAGGGTTTTTGTCACTTTGAGCTTGAACAATAGGGATCAACTAGAGACAAATAGTACATCAACGGATCCAGTACTGTATATAAATGGTTTCTATACATCCACCTTTATAATTCGTAAACCAAACAATCACACTTGGGAGTTAAAGTCTCATTATAAACATATAAAAAGAATAATCCAAGGTTCTGCTGAAGCTTCCCTAAAAGAACATAACATTTAAGCATAGATTGGAAATGGTTAGCAAACCTTGTTTTATATGGTTGGAATAGAAAATGTGACTGCAGTACCCAATGACTAACCTAAGTAGGGCTGATGGGAACTGTAATCCCAAAATATAAGACGGGCAATACGTGGCCCAGTCTGGAGAGCTGAAGTTGCAAGTAACACACATGTTGACATTTTAAAGCTACTGTTAAGGTATTTATGGGGATGCAGCAGCGCACAGCAAGCGAGAGTCCAAAAGTGGCAGGCTCAAACCCAGAACATCAATCAATGGCTGATACCAAATGAGAGACTCCCCTCTGGGCACACAGAAACCTGGCTGAACAGACTGCGCTCTGGCTCCACGAGATGCAGAGCCAATCTCAAGAAATGGGGCTACAAAGTGGAATCCACGACATGCAAGTGTGGAGAAGAGCAAACCACTGACCACCTGCTGCAATGCACCCTGAGCCCTGCCACATGCACAATGGAGGACCTTCTTATAGTAACACCAGAGGCACTCCAAGTGGTCAGCTACTGGTCAAAAGACATTTAATCAACTACCAAGCTTGCAAACTTTGTGCTTTGTCTGTTTGTTTGGTTAAAAATGTAATACAACTGTCTGGTTGCTCCTGACATGATAAATAAATAAATAAGCAGCGCAATGCATCTCTCCTCGAAGTAACACAGAGTTTAGAAAAGATAAGTTTTTTGGGCACAGTTCTTAGAATCCTCAATTAGCATAATTACTAGTCATGATGTCTGGGATACGTAGTCAAAAACTGGTTTTTATTTTGCATTTCATCAGATGAGTGGAATGTAGCTCCAATGCCACCAAGACTAATTACTTTTTCTGCAACAGACTGACAAATTAGGAGCTGACAAGTCAGCTTCAACATTTATGCTGATCTTAATGAGATACCCCCAAGTTCTGCTCAGGTCTTGCAAACACAGGACTGTGTCTTCCTTAAGCCAATGTAGCTATGTCTCTACAAAGTAGATTTCCAAAAAGCAGTTTCTTCCATGTATTTGGACATGATCTTTGGCTGAGTGACCACGAATTTCAATCCAGGGCTTTCCTTTCAATAATTCACATTGTTTGAATATGGCACATCTCAGGGGTTAATATTTGCCTACCTCAGCATTGCCGCCAACTGCTCTGGATGAAACTGCTCCAGCTCCAAGTAAAAATGCTCCCGGTAGCTGCATTTCCTTTGCAACTCTATTCATGTCATAAACCTATAAAAGAAGGATGAATTTTTTTTCTTGGTATAGAATCATAGAATCAAAGAGTTGGAAGAGACCTCATGGGCATCCAGTCCAACCCCCTGCCAAGAAGCAGGAATATTGCATTCAAATCACCCCTGACAGATGGCCATCCAGCCTCTGTTTAAAAGCTTCCAAAGAAGGAGCCTCCACCACACTCCGGGCAGAGAGTTCCACTGCTGAACGGCTCTCACAGTCAGGAAGTTCTTCCTCGTGTTCAGATGGAATCTCCTCTCTTGTAGTTTGAAGACATTGTTCCGCGTCCTAGTCTCCAAGGAAGCAGAAAACAAGCTTGCTCCCTCCTCCCTGTGGCTTCCTCTCACATATTTATACATGGCTATCATATCTCCTCTCAGCCTTCTCTTCTTCAGGCTAAACATGCCCAGCTCCTTAAGCCGCTCCTCATAGGGCTTGTTCTCCAGACCCTTGATCATTTTAGTCCCTCCTCTGGACACATTCCAGCTTGTCAATATCTCTCTTCAGTTGTGGTGCCCAGAATTGGACACAATATTCCAGGTGTGGTCTAACCAGAGCAGAATAGAGGGGTAGCATTACTTCCCTAGATCTAGACACTATGCTCCTATTGATGCAGGCCAAAATCCCATTGAGCATTACTTCCTTAGATCTAGACACTATGCTCCTATTGATGCAGGCCAAAATCCCATTGGCTTTTTTTGCCGCCACATCACATTGTTGGCTCATGTTTAACTTGTTGTCCACAATGACTCCAAGATCTTTTTCACACGTACTGCTCTCGAGCCAGGCATTGTCCCCCATTCTGTATCTTTGCATTTCGTTTTTTCTGCCAAAGTGGAGTATCTTGCATTTGTCACTGTTGAACTTCATTTTGTTAGTTTTGGCCCTTATCTGTCAAGATCATTTCGAATCCTGCTCCTGTCTTCTGGAGTCTTGGCTCTCCCTCCCAATTTGGTGTCGTCTGCAAACTTGATGATCCTGCCTTCTAGCCTTTCATCTAAGTCATTAATAAAGATGTTGAACAGGACCGGGCCCAGGACGGAAGCCTGCTGATGGCACTCGGTTCATCACTTCTTTCCAGGGTGAAGTAATCTATACAAGATGTAACCAGAGCCAAGATGCTTCAGTTGTACTTTATATAAAAGGAAGATAAGCCTGTTCTGTAAGCCTTGCAAATGCTGAATTGTCATAAGTAATTTTTTAATAATTACCTTATATACCTATATACCTGGGCTCAAGTGGAAAGGGGGCAAAAGTTGAAAAGTCTATTCACTGCTCTGTCCAATACAAAATTCAGAGGTAAATGTAAGACTTTCTCCTCCCCACAAGCCCCTTTTGAGGGCTGGAAGAACATCCAATTGACATATAAAACTAAAATTCAGGAGGGTGGAAATTGAGTGGTGATAAAGATTGCTAGATAAAAAAACCCATGGTAGGAAGTAGTGTGGAGAAAGATTATTTTTTAAAGACAAGGGCAACACAACTGTCCATAGGTTTGTGAGCAGCTCAGTGTATAGTCAAAATATTGCAATTACTCACCTTATCTTTCTGAACAAGTGGCAGAAGGTTTGGAACACCACCCACATCTGCAATTCGAGGATTTCCGCAAATTCCTAGAAGAAAAAAAAAACAAACAATTGGGATCCATGGTGGCACATTAGGGTAAACCCTTGTGCTGCTGAATTGCTGACCTTAAGGTCAGCAGTTCGATCCATGAAATGGGGTAAGCTCCTGTCTGTCAGCTCCAGCTCCTGACAACTTAGCAGTTCGAAAACATGCAAATGTGAGTAAATAGGTACCCTTTTGCCAGGAAAAGGCAAAGAGATGCTCCAAGCAATCTTGCCAGCCACACAACCACGAGATGACAGCACAGGCTCCTCGGCTTGAACATGGAGAAAGCACCTCCCCAGAACCAGAAATGAGCATCGCCTCCAGAAGCCGGAAATGAAAGGAGAAGCCTCTGCCTTTGTTTGTATATGATTGTAAAAGGCACTGAATGTTTGTCTTTATATGTAAATATTGTAATTTGCTCTCAATCTCCTAGGGGAGAAGAGCGGAATATAATTAAACTGTATTATTATTATTATTATTACTAATATCAGTAATGAAGGTCTGCCGCTTTGAAATATGTACCCTCTAGAAATTTGTCTTCCTTTTTACGTAGGCAATGAAGTCTCTTTACAACTGTCATGGATTTTTAATACAAAGAAAGCAACAAAGGGATATATGGTATTTAATTCACACAGGGAAATAGGGGCAAAGGAGGGAAATGAAACACAGTGATCCCAATCTTCTGGGGTTTGGTTCCAGAACCTGCCATGGATACCAAACCCCATGGATGCTCAAGCTCCATTGTATAAACTTATATATAATGGCACAGTAAAATGGGGTCTGTTCTATAAAATGGCAAAGTTTGGAGTTTTTAAAGAATATTTTCACATGACAGAATCCATGCATTTATTTATTTATCGTGTCAGAAGAGAATTGAGAATACAGTTATAATGTATAGTAAAACCAAAAACAAAGTTAAAAACTTGGTGTTATACTAAATGTTCTACGACCAGTAGCTGGCCACTTGGAGTGCCTCTGGTGTCACTGTGAGAAGGTCCTCCACTGTGCATGTGGCAGAGCTCAGGCTGCATTGTAGTAAGTGGTCTGTGGTTTGCTCCTCCCTACACTCACATGTCATGGACTCCACTTTGTAGCCCCATTTCTTAAGATTGGCTCTGCACCTCGTGGTGCCAGAGCACAGTCTGTTCAGAGCCTTCCAAGTCACCCAGCCTTCTGTGTGCCCAGGAGGGAGTTTCTCATCCGGTCTCAGCCACTGATTGGGGTTCTGGGTTTTAACCTGCCACTTTTGGGCTCTCTCTTGCTGAGGTGTTCCTGCAAGTATCTCTGTAGATCTTAGGAAGTTATTTCTTGATTTAAGGCGTTGACATGCTGGCTGATATCCGAAAAGGGGACGGACCGGAGATGTCAATGCCTTGATCCTTTCATTACAGGCTGCTATTTCCCGACGGATGTCAGGTGGTGCAATACTGGCTAAATAGTATAATTTCTCCAGCGGTGTTGGGTGTAGACATCCTGTGATAATGCACACATGTCTCATTAAGAGCCAGACTGTTTTAACATGGTAAGATGTATTACACACTGGGAATCTATGAATATAGAGTGTTGACTGTTCTGCAAAACATGGGTTAACCAGCGGCAACCTGAATAACATGCAACATTTTAAAACATTTCTGAAATCTCCCTTGTTACCTTTAACAGGAAATTTAAAAGGTTCTTGAGTCAGATCAGGGCAGTCCACCACAGAAACCTGGACATCTGCAAAGTTTTCTTTCAGTCCATTCTGTAAAACTAAAGGAAAGATTTTAAGTATGTTATTTTTTTTAAAAAAAAGAATTGGATTTTTGTAGTTTTAAAGGATAAAAACACAATAATAATAATAATAATAATAATTGTGCAAAGACTGGCACAAACCAGTCAAGGTGGTCCCAGTGGTGATCGGCACACTGGATGCAGTGCCTAAAGACCTTGGCCTACACTTAAACACAATCAGCACTGACAAAATTACCATCTGCCAGTTGCAGAAGGCCACCTTACTGGGATTTGCACGCATTATTTGCCGATACATCACACAGTCCTAGACACCTGGGAAGTGTCCGACGTGTGATCCGATTCAACAGCCAGCAGAGTGTCTGCTGTGGACTCATCATGTTGTGTTTCAAATAATAATAATAATAATAATAATAATAATAATAATAATAATACTTTATTTGTATACCGCTCTATTTCCCCAAGAGGACTCAGGGCTGTTTCCAACATAAGCAAAATATTCAATTGCCGAATGACACAAAAACCATACAAAAATAAACATTTTAAAACATGAACATAAATCCAATTAAAAGCAAACACATTTAAAAATTAGTTTCAGTTTTTCTCTATCAAACAGGAATTTAATTGCCAATGGCCAGCAATTACAAATGGACCTAGTCAGCTATGAGAATACATACACTGTTCTGTCAAAACTCGTTAGGTTACAACCTTTTTAACGTTCATCCAGATCAGTGATACATTTATCCAGTTTATGAATCCTTTTTGTAGATACAGGCCTTGCAATAGCTGTGATAGAGTAACTTGCTTTTGCAGGTGCAGAATGCACCTTGCTGTAACTTTGATAAAACCCTGTATCAATCGACATTATTGACTGTAACTTTGATAACACATTTCAAATAAGGAGTTTCTCTGCAAGTGTTTAGGCAGATGAGGAGATTGTAACCCTTTATGGAAGGAGGGACCAACAGATATGGAAAAAAGGGATATAAAATGTGCTGAACTTTGCTTACGTGTGCCTACTTACTAAGACAAGACACCTGAGGCTTGCAGGATCGTATAATAAAGCTTTGCTACTTCGCCAACTTGGTCCAAGTTTCTCTTTAGGCTCCAAAGACCCCTGTTTATATCATGCATATATATGCAAGGTTTTCTCCTTATTTTATACCAGTAAACATACCATACTAGAATCATAGAATCAAAGAGTTGGAAGAGACCTCATGGGCCACCCAGTCCAACCCCCTGCCAAGAAGCAGGAATATTGCATTCAAAGCACCCCTGACAGATGGCCATCCAGCCTCTGTTTAAAAGCCTCCAAAGAAGGAGCCTCCACCACACTCCGGGGCAGAGAGTTCCACTGCTGAACTGCTCTCACCGTCAGGAAGTTCTTCCTAATGTTCAGATGGAATCTCCTTTCTTATAGTTTGAAGCCATTTTGCTTTTACGCACCATATACGGTAAATATTTTAGTCTTTACAGGTATTCCAAAATCCCAAACACTACAGTCTTAAGCATTCCAGATAATGAATATTCAATCCCATTGGCTGACACTGCAGAAAGCTTTCTTTCTTTTCTTTTTTTAAAGTTTCTTGATTAATACATCTGAATGTCAATTCAACTTGGAAAACTGAAAGAATACCGGAATGATATTGATATAAACTTCAATTCTGCCAACCCACATCTTTATAATGTTGCAATACAGTAGAGTCTCGCTCATCCAACATTCTGTATTATCCAACGCTGTCTGCTGCCCGTCCGGATCCACAGTCGTTTCAATACATTGCAATGTTTTGGTGCTAAATTCGTAAATACAGTAATTACTACATAAAGTTACCGTGTACTGAACTGCTTTTTCCATCGATTTGTTGTAAAATGTGATGTTTAGGTGCTTATTTTGTAAAATCATAACATAATTTGACATTTAATAAGCTTTTCCTTAATCTCTCCTTATTATCCAAATTTTTCTCTTATTCAATGTTCTGCTGGCCCGTTTATGTTGTATACGTGAGACTCTACTGTACTTCTTGCAATGCAGTTCTGCCGACCCCCTCTTTATTACATTATTGCAATACTTCTTGCAGTGCAACTCTGCCAACTCTCCTCTTTATTACACCATTGCAATAATGCTTGAAAAGCAGCTACTCACCCCCGACAAGTTCTTCCAAAGTAGGTACGTGTAAAGCAAACTTCTCAACTTTGGCCATGTTTTATTTCACCTTGTAAAATTTGAAGCAAGCTGCAAAAGGGTCAGAGTACACCAGGGAACAAGTCAAAGATCTGTTAATGAACACACTGGCTTAGTGATTAAGCATAATGACACAAGCTGTATACACAAACTTCTTATGACTCACGTCATCCTTCATTTTATGAGGGACTAAAGGAAGGTTGTACATCTGTCTTCACCTGGGGGTGCATCTACACTAGGCATGGGCAAACTTCAACCCTCCAGGTGTTCTGGACTTCAACTCCCACAATTCCGAACAGCCTACCGGCTGTTCGGAATTATTATTATTCTAAAGTATTATCCAACCAGATAAGAAAAGCTGTAATAGCCTCCATGATGCCTAACTGGACAACCCATTCCTTGTAATGTCCTTCTTAGCTAGCAAAGCTGGTGTCTTTCCAAGCAAAAAATTAAATAAAAAAAAAATAACACCATTGGCTTCTCAAGGCTAACATATAGGGTGCTTCTACACCAGAGAAATAATTTATTTCCTATATTTATACCCCGCCCCTCTCCCCCTGAAGGGGGACTCAGGGCAGCCTAACAAAAGCATCATATGATGCTATCATCATAAAAACAACCACAGTACAATCAAAATGTTAAAAATTAAAACAATTAATTGAGACACATCCATTAAAATCGAAATCCAAAAACCAGTCCGGGTCAATTCATTGCCATAAGATGTGTGATCTTCTTTCATTTGTGCTCACTGATCAAACGCTTGGTCCCATAACCAGGTCTTGATTTTCCTTCTAAAAGACAAGAGTCAGGGGGCCACCACAGAAAGGCCCTGTCTCGAGTTCCCACCGCATCGCAGGTGCGCTTGGTGGGAACAAGAGACAGGGCCTTTTCTGTGGTGGCCCCCCGACTCTGGAACGCCCTCCCGAAAGATCTTAGACAGGTCCCTTCGCTGGCAGTCTTCAAAAAGAACTTGAAGACCTGGCTGTTCCGATGTGCCTTTTCAGATTAGGAACCCCCAATACCAAGTCCTAGAAGCACTTTAGTAGTACTAAGAGCACTGCACTCCRCACACTGCACTTACTTTATAACCCTACATACCTCCTGCCACATCAGCACTTTTAATCTTGTACCCATCACTCTGGCCTGGCCCAGTTTTATATTGTCTTGATGTCTCGATGTATTGTTATTGCTGTTGTTTATTTCTGCTTAACTGCTTTTAATTTGCTCTAGGTATTGTATTGTTGTATTGTGTTCTGAGGCCTTGGCCTATGTAAGCCGCATCGAGTCCTGYGGAAGATGCTAGTGGGGTTATAATAATAATAATAATAAAAGGGAGGTGGCCAATCTGATATCTCTACGGAGGGTGATCCATAGGCGGGGTGGGGTGGGGGGGGCACTGCTGAGAAGGCCCTGTCTCTCGTCCCCATCAACCATGTTTGCGATAGTAGTGRGATCAAGAGCACGGCCTCTCCTGAAGATCTTAAACTTCGTGATGGTTCGTGGCAGAAGATACGTTCGGACACGTAGTCTGGGCTAGGACTGTTTAGGACAGTGGTTCTCAACCTGGGGTCCCCAGATGTTTTTGGCCTTCAACTCCCAGAAATCCTAACAGCTGGTAAACTGGCTGGGATTTCTGGGAGTTGTAGGCCAAAAACATCTGGAGACCCCAGGTTGAGAACCACTGGTTTAGGGCTTTAAAGGTTAAAACCAGCACTTTGAATTGTGCTCGGAAGCTGATCAGTAGCCAGTGGAGTTGGCGTAACAAAGGAGTTGTATGTTCCCCGTACGTCGCTCTAGTGAGCAACCTGGCTGCCGACCGTTGGACTAGTTGAAGCTTCCAGGCAGTCTTCAAAGGCAGCCCCACGTAGAGTGCGTTGCAGTAGTCTATTCGGGGATGTGACAATTTGAGATCACTTTAACTGCAATGGCACAATGCTATGGAGTGATGAGAGTTCTAGTTTAATGGGGTACCCAGCTTTATGTGGCAGGGAAGACTAAAGACCTTGGAAAACTACAACTCCAAGGATTCCATAGTATTTAAGCAGTAAAAGTGGTTTCAATCCGCATTAAATTAAAGTGTAGATGCAATTCATTAATATGAATTAAGTAAAACTTGGTAATACAAATTCTATGCAAGAAATGAGAATTACTGACATCAATTTTAAAGAAACCCAAGGGATTGTGTGCAAAAGACTGGGCAAATATTTAGCAGACTTGCACAATTCTGTACATGCTTCAAAGCTCCATTAATATCCCTTTTAAAAAGTGCATTAAATGCCTGTTACTCAAAGCCCCCCATTTACATGCTAAACTACTCACAAGACTGGAACGCGCTGCTGGGAACAGAACGCCACCTTTTTGCTCCTCGCGAGCCTCCCTCCTCGAAGAAGCCTCTCTAACCAAGTTCTAGTCATGTTACGGCTTGGGCGGTCCGACCAATCCGAGCATTCTACGCTGCCACGCTCAAGATGGCACTCGCGCCCGCGGCCATCCTTCCCTTCTTCCCGTCAAGCTCGAAATCCAACTCTCGCGAGAATAGCTAAACTATTTAAGCGGGCCCTCTGCAGCCGTTCGGCCTTGTTTGGCTTCGGGAACGGAACTGTTGTGAGTTGTGAGTGAATAAGTATCCATTGTCATCCGCTTGAATTAATACTCAGGTTAGAGCGTGGCCTGTAAATTGATAATTTAGGGATGTTTTTGTTTATTTGGGGTACGATATTGGGGTGATCACTGATTATGGGAAGATAAGGGGGTGAAAAGCGTGGTTGAATTTCCTCCCTTCTGGCGCCATTGCTTCCTATGGGCCTAGGCTAGAGTTAGGCTTTCAGATTTCCCTGAAGTGAAAGGCCCAGGAGTCTTATCCAATGTACTTGCTTTCCAAAAGCTTTGGAATGTTAGTTTAATATTTCATATTTTATGGCATTGATTGATTGATTGATCAGTTCTTTGTATGTTATAATTCCATGTTTGTGTCTCAATAATATTTATATTATTATTTATATATAATATTATATTTATAATATTTATATTTATTTATATATAAAATTGTATATTTTATTTACAATTGAATATTACATATATTACATGTAATATTGTGTAATGTAATATAAGTGACTGGTTGCCCTGACACGACAAAAAAAACAAAACAAATAAATATACACATATATACTATATATATATATATATATACCCCCTCTCTCTATATATATAAGTGCAGTATGTAAAAATAAAATAGAATAGGCTTATATTTTATTTTTACATACTGGACTTATATATATAGAGAGAGAGAATATATATATGTGTGTGTGTGTATATTTATATAAATAAAAATGTAATGTTCGTTTGTGGGATTAACATAACTCAAAAACCACTGGACGAATTGACACCAAATTTGGACACAATATCAGGCCAACAAGTGACCATCACTCATWAAAACACTGAAAACTACAGCAGACGAGGCTTAAAAAACAAAAAATGCATTACAATGCATGCACAAAACCATCTATGTACACAAATATACACATATGCACAAACATATACACACACAAGACACATAGACACAGGGGACAGCTAGTATAYATRTATATATAYACACACATGAATTTGTGCTATGYTAATTATATATTATTAGCATATACTAATATTGTGATATGCTAATGTATTATATGTACACATAATACTGATAATAATGTAATGAAATATAATACTTATAATAATACTAGCTGCCCCCTGCCATGTGTTGCAGTGGCCCAGTTTGTGTATATGTCTTTTGTATGTGTATATATGTGTGTGTGTATATATGTGGTTTTGAGCATGCATTGTCGTGTATTTTTTTATTTTTTGGTTTTTTAAGTCTCTCCCGCTGTGTTTTTATGAGTGATGGTCACTTGTTGGCCTGATAGGTGTATTGTGTCCAAATTTGGTGTCAATTCACCCAATGGTTTTTGAGATATGTTAATCTTACAGACGAACATTACATTTTTATTTATATGGATATAATTTTTATTTTTTGGTTTCTTAAGTCTCTCCTGCTGTGTTTTTCAGTGTTTTTATGAAAGGTGGTCACTTGTTGACCTGATATTGTGTCCAAATTTGGTGTCAATTCGTCCAGTGGTTTTTGAGTTCTGATAATCCTACAAACGAACATTACATTTTTATTTATATAGATATAATATTAACATATTATACTAATATTGTGCAATGCTAATAATACAATATATTGTATATACATATAATATTGATAATATTTTAATGTAATACAATATAATACCAATAATAATAATGTAATGTAGTAATACTAATGTATTAAATATAATTGCTCCTGATAATATATAATGATATACTTTTAATTATTGTATATTTTAAATTGTAAGGTTTTTGATGATGAGCCGCTTTGAGTCTCTGTATGGAGAAATAAAGTGGGATATAAATAACACACACACTATACACACTATGTATATTGTGTGTGTGTGTGTGTAAGCTGCTGCCTCTTGGTGGTGCAGCGGCTTAAACCACTGAGCTGCAAAACTTGCTGGCAGTTTGAATCCAGGGAGTGGGGTGAGCTCCTGCTGTTAGCCCCAGCTTCTGGCAACCTAGCAGTTTGAAAACATGCAAATGTAAGGAGATCAATAGGTACTGCTTCGACGGAAGGAAACGGCGCTCCATGTGGTCACGCTGGCCACATTACCTTGGAGGCGTCTATGGATAATGCTAGCTCTTTGGTTTAGAAACAGAGATGAGCACCACACCCCAGAGTCAGACATGACTGGACTTAACGTCAGGCGAAACCTTTACTATATGTGTATAGACCCGTGTGTGTGTGTGTGTGTGTGTGAGAGAGAGAGAGGGGGGGGGGGCTCCAGTCTTGTAAACAATCCCTTGAGAATAAAAGGATGTTGATGTCAGTGAGGATCATTTATTGCATAGGATTGTATTGTTAGGTCCTTAATTCATACGTTTTAGTAGACATGAGGTGAATCTACATTGTAGAATTAACACTGTTTAACACCACTTGAGATTCCATTCCTATGGAATCAAGAGGGTTGTAGTTTTGCCACCTCTTTATAAATGAATTGCCTGGCAATATTTTGAAAATGCCCAGTTTTTATGCCTCTTTTTTAGACTTACTATAAGGGTATTAACTTTTAGAATCTCTGAATAGTAAGAGGAAGCTCCTTGTTTTTTTTGTAAATGTTCTCTTAACTTCCAATATATTTGCTCTCAAGGTGTCTGTTTTTCAAAATAGTAACATCTCTCTCCCCACTCCCCCCAATTCTATGGTAGAAGCTGAATATGGCTGATACTTGTGAGACAGAAGACTCTGCTGCACATCACCAGGATTCAAAAAAGTGAGTCCTTAATCTGTACATAAAACTGCAAAGTGTCATCATAGGGTTTCTAAAGTGCAGCTGCATCTGTTACCTAGCTGGTGTAATGTGCTTCTGAGTTACTTGTGTGTATTCAGTGGGGGCACAATACCCCAGAATATTATAATGCAGGCATGGGCAATTATTCTGACTCGTATATGTATTATGGCAGGCATGGGCAAACTTTGGCCCTCCGGGTGTTTTGGACTTCCCAACTCCCACAATTCCTAACACAATTCCCCATGCAGCATATCAAATGGCTCTGCCAGCTTAGGTTGATGGGAGATACTATATTTTTATTTATATCTTGCTTTTAGTAGGCTTATCCAAAAAATAAGATTACAAGGCATGTAGCTCTCATGGGGAATTTTCTTGGGGGAAGTTGGTATTGCTGTGTAGCGGGAAGCCAACAGAGGCAAACGAGCAGTGGTGAGATGTGTTCCACACTGGGCATGCATACTCAGCAGCAGAGTAGCATAGCGCAAGGGCAGATGTCTTCACTGTGTCTGGTTGTGATCCCCAGGTTGTGCCAGTCAGCTTTCGTATGATATTGTTTCTAGCACCCACTTTTTGCTTGATGTGCAGGCAGTGCTTCTTGTAGGTCAGAGCACGGTCCAGAGTGACTCCCAGGTATTTGGGTGTGCTGCAATGCTCCAGTGGGATTCCTTCCCAGGTCATCCTCAGAGCTCGGGATGCTTGTCTGTTCTTAAGGTGAAAGGCACAGACAAGCATCCTGAGCTCTGAGGATTACCTGGGAAGGAATCCCACTGGAGCATTGCAGCACACCCAAAGTTCATCAAAGTGATGAATGGCTGAAAAAGGCAGAGGGAAACTTCAATGACACGGACATCAAAAACTTGTCCCACGGATGACAAAATGTATTGAACTGAATGGTGATTTTTGTGGAAAAATAATGTAATACCCATGCTGCAATCCATGCAATTTTTATTAAAATATATTCATTCTTTGTATTTAAAAAAATCTTGCCACCTTACTTTCTGGATAACCCTCGTATCTCTTGATTGAAGCTCAACATCTGCACACCTGCAGATTGAGAGAGTCTGGTGTATATTCTAAGAAAGGATTTCTCTCAGATATAATGTAAGGAAATTAACTAATTGTGCCATTGAGCAACTGTTCACTTTTCATTTCTGTAACAGGACCAAAGCTGACTCGCGGTCGCCAAATCAAACAAAGAAAGGAAAAATGGGTTCAGCAAAGTGTGGACCGCCTTCTGCAAATGCACCTGGTGGAAGAACAGCAGGCGTTACTAATTCAAATGGCTCAGGGAAGCCTGGGGTTCAGGTGAAATTACCTAAGCCTAAAGTTGACCTCAAAGCTCTTTTTGACTACTACTTTGTAAGACAACAGCATAAAAAGTGCAAAAAATTGAGGCTAAGGGAAAAGAGAAAACGCAGAACTAAGAAAAAAACACCTGAGGAAGAGCGGCCGAAGATCCGACTGCCTCTGAGAAAGAGGCGGGCGAGAATCCCAGCACGTGAGCGACGAAGGGAAGCGAGACAGGGGGGCCTCCAGTTTCCTTTTGTGGAGAAACTTAGTGGAAGGAAACACATTCCATTTAAACTTGTGTGTCGATATGAGGTGAGTTACTTTTAAGCCCAGACTTAGACAAGATATTGCTGTCTGATCTGAAGTTTTGTACTAAATTAATCTTGTTTGTAACTTGGGGACTTCCTGCATTGCACAAAAAATTGAATTGCTAGTCTTTTTATCTTGTTCCTTGGTATTAACCATAGAACTATTCTTTCCTAGCAATTAGCTGTACAAGGATACTTCAGATACATTAAAACGCTGAAATGTGAGCGCCTCCTTGAAAAGTCTTTGACAGAATTGAATGCGGGGGATGATCTAGAAAATGAGAGCCTGGAGACACGGAAGTACAAATACCTGGATGATGATGGTCCTCTTTCTCCCATTGAAGAGCCAGAGTATGTATAATTATGCTTCTATGGTCTTTCTAATCTCTATAGTTGAGAAAATCATCTTTAAACCTGAATTTTAATGCTAGATCACTTTCTCCAAGCTTGTATGTCAATATTTTTAAAAATCTTTTGAGCAGTTTCAGAAACTTTTTTTAAACATATGTTAGGATTTCAAAATATAGGAATCGGTTTCTGTCTGCTTTTCCAGCAGATATTGTCCTTGGCTCACTGACCATAGTTGCTTGGGATGATGGACATTGTAGTACAGAATATATATTTATTTATTATTTATTTACTTTACTTATATACCGCTGTTCTCAGCCCGAAGGYGACTCACAGCGGTTCACAACCAATAAGAACAGCAAAAATTCAATGCAACAGTGTAAAAACAGTTAACAACTTAACACATTACACAATTAATAAACAATTACTACAATAACCAATCACTATCGTCTCATCATCAAAACATAATCCAGATTCGTCATCCATTGTTCCATTCCTATGTTCAATTACCAATCATTGCACTAATTATTCGAACRCCTGCACAAACAGCCAGGTCTTCACTTTTTTGCRGAATACCATTAGAGATGGTGCTAATCTAATGTCTGTGGGGAGGGCGTTCCACAGCCRAGGGGCCACCACTGAGAAGGCCCTATCTCTCGTCCCCGCCAGCCGTGCTTGAGAAGCCGGCRGGATCGAGAGCAGGGCCTCCCCGGAAGATCTCAAAGTCCTGGTGGGTTCATAGGCAGAGATGCGGTTGGCTAGGTAGCTTGGGCCGGAACCGTTTAAGGCTTTATAGGTCAACACCAGCACCTTGAATTGAGCCCGGTAGCAGATCGGCAGCCAGTGGAGCTGGCCAACAGGGGGGTTGTATGCTCCCTGCGTTCCGCTCCTGTTAGAATCATGGCTGCCGCACGTTGGACTAATTGAAGCTTCCGGACCGTCTTCAAGGGCAACCCCACGTAGAGAGCGTTGCAGTAGACTGACTGAAACCAGGTTCCCCAACCTTACCCTGAACAGTATTTTGGAGAAAAAACATTTAGACTAATACCAGAAATTGCTCATTTCTTGGTCCTATGTATTTATTCAATATTACTTTCAGAAATAGCAGTTACAGAGCTTTGAGACGTTTTCTATATCACCAGTGATATAGGGCGCATTTTTTAAAAACCTTTACTGTTTTTTAGTTGAATGGGAAATTAAGTAGGAGCACATTCTAGGAAAGGTTTTTCAGCCCAGATGTGAAATGCATCTCAGTTTTTTCTACTTGCTTATAAACGGAAATTATAACATGTGTTAGGTGATTTGACTGAGATTGTTCATGTAAATAATTCCTTTTTTTTTGTGAAACTTGTTAGAAATATTAAAAATTAATTGGGTATTTTTGATTACAAGTGTGAATCAAGCACTGAAAGAGTTAGTAGGCCAATGCCTGTTAGAGTCAGTGGGCCAAAGCTAGAGTCTTCCTGAGGAGAGTGAGTAGGCTGAAGCCTGTTAGTTAATGGGCCAATGCTAGTGTCATCCTGTGGAGTGTGAGGTAAACCTCTGTGTGAGAGAATGCCTCAGTGGGAGAATAGGCCTCATTGTTAGTAGGCCTGAGTGTGAGTGAGCTAGGCCTTGTGTGAAGGTTAAACTATTTGTGCTATGGAAACTTTGTTATTGTAAATAGTGCAGCCATATTATTTTACTATAAAGGAAGGCCTCCTATGGAAGATATCACATTGGTCTGTATGTTTTTGTTCTTTAGACAACTTTGGGCTACTTGTGCTGGGTCACACTGCTGCTAATAAGTTACTCTGCTGTACATTTTATGAGGAGGGTCTTTTGATAATAAGCCCACTCACTCAACACGTGTATATGTAACACTTCAGAAATATATATTGTAAATGAAGTTTTATACGACAGCATTAAAATAAATCTAGATTTAAAAGGAAATTACTGCATCTTTCAACTTCCTCCTAAATTTACATTTTTTCCAGGCCTTCGTGAACACATAAAAGTTTCCCCTCCAACTGAATCATATGTGGCACCTTGATATTTCAATATGACAAATACCATCTTGTACTTTATGTGGGAAGGTCCGCTATTTATTTATTTATTTACAGTATTTATATTTCCCCCCTTCTCACCCCGCAGGGGACTCAGGGCTGATTACAATGTACACATATATGGCAAACATTCAATGCCAATGACACACAACAGATATAGACAAACAGTCAGAGGCTATTTAACTTTTCTGGCCGCCAGGAGAGCTGTCGCTTTCATTGTCCATCTGCGACACTGATGAAGTACTTCCGCATACCCCGCATGCTTTTTGCTGGTATGCTTTGCTGGAGTCTTTTTTTTATGACTTCGTAAATTTTGTTCAGTTAGCCTCCCCACACATAGGTGGTACCTAATTTTCCTACTTGACAGATGCAACTGTCTTTTGGGTTGCAAAGGTCGACAACAAGCTACACAATTGATTGGAAGCTCACTCCGACCCTGGCTGCCTTCGAAGTGATTACCTTGTTGTCAGAAGTGATCTTAATGCAGCTGACACTCAAGTCAGCTGTGCCACAGTCCCGGTGCTATGGAAACTTTGTTCTTCCAAATAGAACAATAATATTAAGTGTGCAAGTAAAGAATTGCACTGATTGGGAGGGACAATGCCTTGGAAAAGGACAGGAGACTCTAGAATTGAATGCACATATGGGAGTATACTGTAGTATACATATGACAGAATAGAGGCATCGAGCTGTTCACGATGCCTCTGTTCTGTCATATGTGGCAATCCTATTACATTATAAGCACTGCCTTGAAAAAACTATGCAAAATGCCTCCAGTCTTCTATGAAGCTCTTTACAAATCTCTATTATTCAGTACTTGTATTTCTTATTTTTAATAGTAATGTATGGAGGTGATTGTGATTGTGCGATTATTGTTTTTCAGTGAAGAAGAACCAAATATGAATTCTGGTAATGATGATATTGGTGCCAGGATAGTGGTAAGCATCTGCTTAAGTTGGATTACTTCACCCTGTAAATTAATACATCAGTAAACTTAAAACCATCGGTTGCATTTCTCAAATGGTTTGTCAAGGGTGTATCTTCACTGTAGAAAGCAGTGAAGGGCCAGGGCTCAATGCACTGAGGCACCAGCACTCTGAGAGAGAAGGCTCAAGGCCTTACCAAACTACAAGTCCCATGCTTCTGTAACATTGAGTCGTGGCAGTCAAAGTGGTCTCGAACGGCATTAATTCCACAATGTAGATCAGGCATGGGCAAACTTTGGCCCTCCAGGTGTTTTTACTTCAACTCCCACAATTCCTAACAGCCGGTAGGCTGTTAGGAATTGTCGGAGTTGAAGTCCAAAACATCTGGAGGGCCAAAGTTTGCCCATGCCTGATTGTAGATGCACCTAAAAACCCTCATATGATGGACCTTATATAATGAAATCCTGATAATGGCACACCATAACTTCCATTAACACCCCTTTCCAGCTTACCTGTCTCTGTTGTTTATTTGGAATGCATGCAAATTATTTTTTTAATCAGATGTTAGGATGCATTCTTGTTTAGGACATTTGGAAATGAAAAGTACAGCAAATTTAACTTTTGTTGCTCTGATGTTGACATCCTTCTGTTTTCTGTGGGGAAAAACCTGCATATCTTTCTTTCATTGCCACAGGAGAAAAGTTCCTTTATCCTAAGTAGTATAATTCCGGAGAAGAAGAAGAAATACAAGAAGAAAACCAAGTGAGTTGGGCTTTTATGCAGAATGATGTTAAGGTGGTAGTTCCAGTGTGGTGGTTCCAGTGTGCCTTCCCAGAATAAGGAAAACTTTCAGCAATACGCCCTCTACATGCACTTTATCACTGATTTAGGATTACATGCGCACCCCCATCTCTCTGAAAACTCTATCCCAGTTATATCCTACCTAGTTCATGCCCAGCATTATTTCTTAAACTTTAAATCATTACATTTGGCCCAGCCATAGGTTTTTTAAATGCTTGTGTGTTACTGTTATTGTTTGTTTTCTGTTATGAGATTTATTGTTACTATTAGAGCCATTTTCCAGTAACAGGAATGTAACAACAATGGACAATTTTTACATAAATAAGCGTCAGGATGGGACTTGTATTGTGAGGGAAAATGTGCATAAATTGGGAGCCTGAGCCATGTAGCAATTAAAAGATCTGAAAGCTTGACTTGTAATACGGGCAGTCCCCAAATTACAAACCTCTGAGTTACAAATGTGGTTCCTGCAGCTGAGAAAGGCGGCATACAAATACAGTAAATAAATAAATAAATGACTCATAGTTGAGAACGGGTGAGAGAACAGGAAGTGAGAGAAATATACCCCTAGGAAGGGAAATTCACTCCTGAAAGAGTTATCATGGGGAAAAGGTGTCTTCACTGAAGCTGTTTTTGCAGCCGTGGTTAATTGGAGCCAGTTTGTGCACTGCAGTTCTTGTGATGATTGTTTTCTAGTTCAACTGCTGAGTGATTCCAGAAATGAACTAAAACTTTAATAATCTGATTGGAACTGAGTGCAAGGCATCCGTAAACTAGCTTAAGTGCTTCCATATGAAGGCAATGTTGAAAAGAATCTCAGATGATGCAACAATTGCCATTTCCTTCATCTACTTTTCTTTTTTTCCATACCAGGAGCTGCAAAAATGAATGATCTCCATGACAGAATCCTGCAAATGATGGCACCTCTTGCTTGCGTCATTATATTTCATGGACTTCAGTAAACTCTTTGCATGTCTGGGAATTTTTAGTGGACTGCTTTCTTTACAGTTTTTTTAAAAAAATAAAAGCTGTTTGCCTGGTTTATTTGGAATGCAATGGCACCCAGTTTTTTGCATGAAGAGAAACTTGAAGGCTGGTTTGAAATAAAAATATCAAGAACTTCTAACATGAGATGGAGTTGGGTCTTGGTGCAACGATAGCTCTACCTGTCTTGCTTCTCAATTGGCTGTCATCCTACTTTGAGACCTGAGAATTTCTGACATCACTGATTCTAAATGTAAGTTTGTGTTTGAATTCAATCTGTGGTTCTGTAAAGGCTAGTGTTGCTTTCTGCTGTCAGGTTCATGGAGCAATAGGGAAGAGGGAAGGAATGTAGACATGTCTGATTTAAGAACCAGATAAGCCAAAGAATTGCATGACCACAGTATTTTTGAACCAATTTGCAATTTGCTTTTCCTGCCTTGAGTAGTTATCAGCACAGCTTCAGGTTTTGGCTAGTCCTGTCTGCAGAAAACCATGAAGCAAGTGCTAAGAGCATATTCTTCTTTGCAACCCATGGCTGATTTGTATTGGCTGTGTTACTTACAGGAAGGAACATAACTATTTGCATACCTGCAAATCAAGGCCCAGAATTCTTGCTTTCTGGGTAACTGTTCTATCCAATAGAAATTCCAAGATATTTTTAAGAGTGAGTATGAAACTAATGTCTTCTGATTTTTTTTCAGTGTCCTGGAAAATAAAACATCAGAAATCTGCAGCATTGCCTCACAAAAAAAAGGTATGTCAAAGTCCATTAATATCCGCTGCAAAGCTGTGTATCACATGTTCAATGTCTTCCCATGGGAAGAGTAGTGAAGCTTACTGCACTGAATGGTATCTGCATCCAGCAGTCTTGTCCTGGTGGCATGTTCAAAAAGCAGTGCAACAGCAACTCAATATGTGGCATCGTTGGTTCTCAAGCTGCAGTGCTTGCTAAACCTGGTATTTTTGTTGAAACAAGAAGCAATAATTGGCCAGGTGGTCGTGTTTGAGGATGATGGGAGTTGAGGCCAAGCACAGCTGGAGGGTACTGGGTGGAGTCTGTTAAAACATCGGTGTGATTTTTGTTGAGCAAATGGGCTTATTAACAAAAGACCCTCCTCATAAATGCACAACAGAGTAACTTATTAGCAGCAGTGTGACCTAGCACCAGTAGCCAAAAGTGATAAAAAGAACAAAAACACACAGGCCAATGTTAGCTCTGCCATAGGAAGCTTCTCTTTAGGGCAAAATAATATGGTTGCACTATTTACAAGAACAAGGTTTCCATAACCGCCCTGAGTCGCCTGCGGGCTGATATGAGCGGGATATAAATAATGTAAATAAATAATAACACAAATAAAGTTCTTTATACTTCCTTCTTTGCTTCCACGCTGGGCTTCTTTCTCCTGCAGATAAACAGCTTCTCACACCAAAGCTACACAGGAGCTTCACACAGTTGCTTTTTACACATGATGGCCTTCAACCTGGGGCTTCTCACACTGTGAGGCCTACTAACACTGAAGCCTACCTCATACTGAGACGTTTCTCCCACAAAGGCGAACTAACACTGAGGCCTTCTCATACAGAGGCCTACTAACACACTAAGGCCTTTCTTCCACAGAGACCTCTCACAGACTGAGAGCGGACTGTTTATATAGAACTGCAGCTTCTGCTGAGTCATTGCATCAATTTAATCCTTTCAGTGCATGACTCTCATTTTTGTAATTTAAAATACCTAGTTAATTTTTAATATTTCTTGACAATTTTCACATGCTCTCTTTAGGTCTATAAAAATAGTAACTTTACAAGCTTTAAATCCATTATTTGGGATTGAGCTGTGTGCTTTGTATGAGTATTTTTTTAAAGTACAGAAACAGTGGGTTCAACCCCTGAGCCGGCAGGACTGAAGACTGTCAGGTCACAGGTTTGAATCCGGGGAGAGTGCGGATGAGCTCCCTCTGTCAGCTCCAGGTCCTCATATGGGGACACGAGAGAAGCCTCTTACAAGGATGACACCAGAAGCAACTTGCAATTTCTCAAGTTGCTCCTGACATGACAAAAAAAAATGTATCTATTTTCAAGTACAATGTTTTGCTTATGCCAGCTAGGGCTTATTCCTCTTAATGCAGTCGTCGGCCGTCAAGGTGTTTTGGACTTCCACAATTCCTCACAGCTGGTAGTTTGCCTATACCTCTCTTAATAATTATGCATTCTGTTCTGTGAACTGTATTTTTCAGGAGTCCTGATAACCATTTCGGAGGTGCAGCCAGTGACGATGAAGGCAACTTCTCCATTCCAGAGGTGAAAATATGTTTTCTCTTCCGAATATATTCCATGAAGTGGCAGCTGCCTTGTTGCTGCAGTAAATGTGGACACACACTTTCACTTTGTGTCCGGGTTATGCAATGAGGCTACAGTAAATACAGGCTATGCTTCCATCATTGTATGGCAAAATTACATTGGTGACAATGAGGCCTGTAATAAGCATATGCTCAAGAATTGCATGGCAGAAGTGGAAAATATATGGAATACATTAGGCTTATCAGTGTCTGGTTATATCTAATTGAACTCTAGAAGATCTATTATGGAGCAGATAGTGTTCTAAGTGTTGAAGTAGAGAAAGTAAAAACCTATGAACTTCTTTTCCAAGTCAGGGCCTTTGTAGTAGATCCTTTGGTGGTTTGTTTTGAACAGTCTGCAGTTCGTCTGCACAAATATGAAAAACGTATAGGACAATAAATTAACTGCACATATTTATTGGATTTTCCTTTTTTTTTTTTTAAGGAATCTGGATAATGTGCACTTCTTCTCTAAATTGGTAAGCAACTTATTTCTTATAGAAGATTCGGTCTTCATTATTGACAGTCTTATTTGGGATTGATAGTTTCATGGTTAAATGGAGTCTTGGTTGGCTCCCTTTGTTGCCTTTCCATCTGGATGCAATTAAATTTGGATCATGCAGGCCATTGAATCATAAGCTGTTTGATTACTGAGTTACCTTTAAATTGCTTTATACTTTTGAAATTTATTTAATTAATTTGTGTTATATTGTTTTAAAGGAGGGATTAATGCATCTTAATGGGGATTGAGGAGCACTGTTTGTGTCAAAGGGGGTGTAGGACTCTGGGGCTTGTATGGAATTGTTATGATGATTGGCAAAATGTTCAACTGCTCTGAAAAGAGTGAATGAGAAAAAGCCGTTCTGAACATGTTAATTGACTTTACGAACTAGATACCTGGTTGTTCAACTCTTTTACAAACAAGAAAATGTATTGTAGAGTCAGATTAGAATCAGATGGGTTATGCTATTACAATGGCAAAAAAGAGACAAGCTGGATTATTTTATTCCCTAAATAAGATGGGTTGATAAATCTAGGGTCAGCTTTCTATACTTAGACCTTCTAGGGTTGGTGATGGGGGGAGCATGCAATTTGGCAAATTCCTCTGCAAAGTATTTACACAAAGAAATGTAGCAGCTTGCTTAAAGGAGTGAATCGCTACTGGAATGAGTTGTTTGGTAGGCTTTCAACAATAAATAAAAGATTAAAGCTGGTTCTGCAAAAGCATCTTTGCCCTCCTTACAGCACTTGGCTGACATGTGTTCTTTCCTGGCTGCAATTTGGCAGCTGGCTCTTTCAGATAGGAATTACAGTACAAATACAAGGAAGAGGCAGATGCTGAAATGGACACACCTTCAGGTATGAAAACTTGCTTTCCTATAATCTGCTTAGCTAGAAGTATTGAGGGAAGCTGTTGGAAATTGCAGCCTTCCAAGCCATCACTATTCGTTTGTTAATGAACATATTTGCTAACCGATATTGTGTGTGTGTGTGTGTGTGTGTGTGTATGTATGTATATATATATATATAGAGAGAGAGAGAGAGAGATTTGCCAGTTTAATTTACCTCTTTGGTGTGGGAGGGGCTGCAGACATATGATTTTATTGAGCATGTTCAGACTCAAGACTCCATTTTGTTATCAGTATGCTTTTGGACTTCAATGTAAGCCAGTGTTTCTCAACCTGGGGGTCAGGACCACTGGGGAGGGGGCATTGTCAGAGGGGTCACCAAAGACCATCAGTAAACAGTCTTTTCAGTTGGTCATGGGGATTCTGTGTGGAAAGTTTGGCCTAATTCTATTGTGGGTGGAGTTCAGAATGCTCTTTGATTGCAGGTGAACTATAAATCCCAGCAACTACAGCTCCCAAATGTCAAGGTCTATTTCCCCCAAAACTCCACCAGTATTCACATTTGGGGATATTGAGTATTCGTGTCAGGTTTGGTCCAGATCCATCATTGTTTGAGTCCACAGTGCTCTCTGGATGTAGGTGAACTACAACTCTAAAACTTAACGTCAGTGCCCACCAGACCCTCCCAATATTTTCCGTTGGTCTTGGGAGTTCTGTGTGCCAAGTTTGGTTCAATTCCATCGTTGGTGGAGTTCAGAATGCTCTTTGATTGTAGGTTAACTATAAATCCCAGCTACTACAACGCCCAAATGACAAAATCAATTCACTCGCAACACCACCAGTATTAAAATTTGGGCATATCGGGTATTTGTGCCAAATTTGATCCAGAGAACGAAAATATATCCTGCATATGCATTACAACTCATAACAGTAACAAAATTACAGTTATGAAGTAGCAGCAAAAATAATTTTATGGTTGGTGGGGTCACATGAGGAAATGTATTAAGGGGTCGCAGCACTAGGAAGATAAGAGAACCACTGCTCTAAGGTAAACCTGCTGTAGGATTTTCTTGGCAAGAATTGTTCAGTAGAGAACATTTTAATAAAAACTGCTTTTATCGGAGGCTGAGAATGTGTGATTTGCCCAAGATTAGCCATCGCTGACAAAATTTTGAACCTTCATTTCCCAGATTTCTAGTCCAGGCTTTAACAACTGCACCATATTTGCTGCCATCTAGTATACACAGGCCTTAACAATCCTGACACCATCTAACATTGAGGTCTATCCCGATGGGACTTTGCTGTATGTTCTTGTCGTTGGAAATGCCTCATAGAGAAAACTTGCGGATTCGCTTTACTCATTAAGCTGTGTTGTCAGCTTAGCGGGATAAAACTGCAAGACAAATCAATACTAAGCAATTATAATTCACACTCTCAAGAAAAAAAAGTATTAAGAAATGTTCTCTTTTTGCAGGTTTTAATTCAGAAACCATGTGGCAGAAAATCATTAATGAAAAAAAGGTAAAGGTTGTGATTTTATAAATTGCTTGTAAGTGGTGTAGTGGATGCAAATTGTGATTGGAACAAGACATGATCTCCACTTGACCCGAAAGATGGCTATCTTTGGTCATTCAAGGAGAAAACTGTAGGAATACCACTCCTGATTGATTTCTGTGACCTGTTGGAAGTGTTAGCTATAGTAACAAAACAACTTTTCCACTTTGCTCAAGTGTTTTTGACATCCCAGCTGACAGCCAAGTAGCAGTCAGCCATAGCAGTGTAGATTGTACCTCAGAACCAGCATCTGGGGCCCCTGACCTGGTCTCTACCAAGGCTGCTAGGAAATGCTGTTTCTGGTATGCTGTGGACGTGACCATAAAGCAATACCTTCCAAGGATTTTGTTTTGCTACTGTAGTATACACAAAATCCGTTGGAGACATTTGATGAAAATTAGAACCTGGCGTTTGCAGTTTCAGAATTGTGATCCATAAAATAAAATGTAAGACTGAGTTGTTGTAGGTTTTTTCGGGCTATATGGCCATGTTCTAAAGGCATTTTCTCCTGACGGTTCGCCTGCATCTATGGCAAGCATCCTCAGATGTAGTGAGGTCTGTTGTCAGGCTGTATATATTTTAAGAGTTCCTCAGGACCAGTTCCAGCAAAACCCTGTTTTTGGCTGTTTCAGGTTCAGTACCTTAGACCGTTACGATGACTTAATTTAGTTATTAGTGTTGACTTAATTCGTTACCTTTTTTTTTCAGCATCTATTTAGAATTGCTACAGAAATCCACACCAAACCAGATTTAGAAAGCAAGACAGACACCAGGATCCATCTGCTGCATTAAAGGTAAGGTCTCCTTATTATTTTGGGGCTCCTTATTAAAGGTCATTTCAAGGAGGGCTTGTGTGTATTGAACAGACAGCTCTTAACGCAATGGCCTAAGATCAAAATCCTCTGAAGGATGTCAAGGGTACTTGGTGTGCTCTGGTCTGTACCAGAGGAGACATAATTTCAAACCAAAATCTTTGGAAGTTTTCCAGAGGTTACATTTGAAGTTCATGTACCAGGCAAGAAAAGTTTCCTGTGTTAGAACTCCCTCCAACAAGCAGTTTGACCTCTATCTCATAGGAAAAGCCCAAATGAGCTATTGTTTAAAAAGTTAAGGCATTGCATTTTATGGTATGTGGAAAGGAAGGGCTTTAAAGCTCGAGTCTATCTGCCTTTTAAAAATATAACAATTGTATTTCAGAAGTGCGTTGGAAGAATAACTTCAAGCAGAAGGAGACTGTTCTAGCCTATTCTGATGCTAAGGCATCATTGGAAATTTATTCTTAACAAACTGATTAATCTACCATTTTTTCTTACTAAAGCTTTAGGTACATCCAGAGTTCTTGTTACTCATATACCAAGAGAAGGTTTTGGACCTCCTTCAGCCATCCCTTTAAGACTTGCCAATCCGGGAGGATCGCAACCACCACAACCTGGTGCCGTGCTTGACCCAGCGAGAGATCACGAGTTTCGCTGACTTTGAGAGTCACTTCTTGCCTGCCAGAAGCAATCGGACAGTGGCGTCCACACAGCTGAATCAACGCTCCAGTCGGAGTCTCGCTGACTTTGCTGTGTTGCTGGTGCAAGTGAGCAGAACAGAAGGCTTGGCCACCAGGCTGCCAGACTTTGCCAGCTCAGAAGACAACTGTCGACTGGCAACAAAGACCTGCGCCTGAAGAAGAGCGGTGCCATCAACACCTCACTTTTTGTCCTCAGCAAGGTGGTTGATGCCCTCAACCAGGGCCTGCCTCGAATACCCTACAGAGACTGCATGGAGCGCCATTATATACTCAAATATATACTGTTATTACATTTCCATTATTTTACCGTTATTATTTTTATTACATTTAATATTTTTCTCTCATTATTATTGGAAAGATGTGTACATAAGCAAGTAGGTTAAAATAATGGTTTGATCAGAGTTGGACAGTTTTATCTTAAATTACAGTTTTATGTAAAGATTCAAAAACATTAACATTTAACATTTAGCTGATGCCTCAACTAATGTATGACGAGATTCTTAATGAGCCAATTGATTTTTCCCTTCACCTATTGCGTTAATTTATTGTTAAATGAATGTATTGATTATTCATATAACATTTTAAAATGTTTTTATTGTTTTAATTGAAATTTTTATGGTATATATGTTTTTAGGATCATTTGATGCCTATGTGAGGCTACCCTGAGTCCCCCTTGTGGGGAGAAGGGTGGGATAGAAATGTATGAAATAAATTAAATTCGTCATCCTCAGAAAAGTTGAACTTAAAATCTGTTGGAACAGTGTGGTTCCCTTGTTAAATAAACTTTTTGTATTTTAAGTTTTCCCCCCTATGTGTCTTTATCTATATAAATAAAAATGTAATGTTCGTTTGTGGGATTAACAGAACTCAAAAACCACTGGACAAATTGACATCAAATTTGGACACAAGACACCTAACAACCCAATGTATGTCCTTCACTCAAAAAAATTGATTTTGTCATTTGGGAGTTGTAGTTGCTGGGATTTATAGTTCACCTACAATCAAAGAGCATTCTGAACCCCACCAATGATGGAATTGAACCAAACTTGGCACACAGTTCTCCCATGACCAACAGAAAATACAGGAAGGGTTTGGTGGGCAGTGTCCTTTGGTTTTGGAGTTGTAGTTCACCTACATCCAGAGATCACTGTGGACTCAAACAATGATGGATCTGGACCAAACTACACAAATACTCAATATGCCCAAATGTGAACACTGGTGGAGTTTGGGAAAAATAGAACCTTGACATTTGGGAGTTGTTGCTGGGATTTATAGTTCAGCTACAATCAAGAGTATTCTGAATGCCACCAACAACAGAATTGGGCCAAACCTCCCACACAGAACCCCCATGTGGGCCACAGCAACGCATGGCAGGGGACAGTTAGTATCTATATAATCTTTGGCTCTGTGTTTTTGTGAGACAACACAACTAGTGTTCAAACACTGAATTGGTCACTGATGGTGCGCTCGAGCCTATGGGGAAACTATATTGTCTGGCTTTACTTGCGGGCTGTTACCTTCTTTTAAGATTAAGACTCATAGCAGACAGAGGCACTTTGAGGCAAGGTGAAAAGATAACAAAATTAATTTACTGAAACAAGGTGAATGAAGGGTTAATTTCAGCTGGGACTGTCCTGTGGTAACTTAAAGCCATACATTTACAAAGGGAGCACTTGCTGGGTGAAGACATCTCTCTGGGGTGGTTGAAAGTCTCTTTGCTTCTGGTGCCAAGCGAAGGCTAAAGACTGCCTTAATCTTCTCTAAGAAGCTTGGGCTGACCAAAACTTCGATTGTCCTTTGTACATGCTAAGAAATGCCTGTTGGATTGATAGGCCTAGAATTCCCAGACAGTGTTCAGGCTTCTATTGCTCTACTACAGAAAGGAGTCCAGCAAAGAGCTCTGGGGAAAAGGAATAAACCAACTACGGCAGGCCTCTAAGGGGTGTTTTAAACTCCACCCACAAACTAATACACAGAAAAGTAACTACACTATTGGGAAAACTATAAACGGGGGACTGAAGCAAAGGAGGAGAAGGCAAAGCCAAGACTTCAGTCTGGATTCCATGAATTGGTTTGTTGCAGTTCACCAAATATGTTTGCATGTTTCAAATCATAGTAAGGCTTGCTAAATGCTGTAGTTCTGAGAATCGGGAAACACATAAAGTTCAAGAACATGCCTAAATTGCTAATCGTACTATAACGCTACGTACATAGAGTCCACTATGCTTCTGTTACTACCTTTAATTTAGGAGGTTATTTTTTTAGCTCCTTTAGCAGCATGCATTAGGACCGCTCTTGGACAGAAGTTTCATCTTGAGCTGACTTTAATTAGGCATTAACAATTTCTGCTTCTCAAGCATATTGAACTTTAAGGGATTTTTTCCTTTGAACCCTGCTGCCAATAAAAGAAGCTACACCTCTAAATCAAGGTCAATTTTATTATAAATATCTACAATATAAAAGTGCTTGATACATTAAAAAAATATACAAGGTTTGGGGGGTTATAAGACATAATTCAAGTGAAACAGGACTGTCTGGAAATTGCAACTTTCAGGAATCATGAAGATGTGATTCATTGTTTACACTGGTGGATGCAAAGCAATTTTGTTCACACACTGTTCGGAATTTATTCACCCCACCCACAAGGAGCCTGCTAAGTTTTTGCATTAGCTTTTCTTGCTCGCAGTTTTTCCAGTGTTCTCTGGGGGGAAAAGAAAAGAGATGAATTGTCAGTGTTGGCCTGAGGAAAGCCTATCCCTCACTGGGCAAAACCTTGCAGTTATATATTTGGAAGTACACTACTACCATCATCATTCAGTCCCCTTCTACATAGCCATTCTGTACCTGGCTGAGGGTATGAAGATTAGCACTAGTTAATAATAATATAACTTTATTTCTAAACCGCCCTCTCTCCAAAGGGACTCAGGGTGGTTTACAGACACAAGGCCTCAAAAGAATACAAATCCATCAAAATAATACAAGATAATGCACAGAAACAG